ATCTCTGTCATGATTTTTATACCAAATTCATCAAGTGCCTCTAGCATCTACGTTGCAGTTCCGTCCTCGCCGAATGCTTTTCCTTTATTTTTTAATTCTTTTTAGTATTGCTTCTATTTATTCTTTCATTATGTCTGGTCCTTCTTCATTTTATATGTCTCCTGATTCTTTTCTTTTATTTGCAAATACTTCCGTGATATATTCGTTTCACCTCTCTTTAACTTCGCTGATTTCTATGGCTACTGTTCCAGCCTTCCTTTTTACTTTTATATTCTGATTTTATTTTCTTCTGCTGGAGATTTCTCTTGCTTTCTCGTACATCTTCTGTTGGTTATCCCCTTCTTGTTGTTCAGTTTCTGTACATCTTCCATTCATCCATTCTTTTGCTTTCGCACATTCTCCTATTTTCCTATTAAGTTCCCTACACTTCTTAACTTTGTCTTTGTATGTTCTCCTTCCATCCATTAATGCATGGATTTCTTCCGTCATCGATGGTTTTTGGTTCTCTCTTTCTTTGGTTGGAACTACTTCTCCAGTTCCCTTTTCAATGGCTCTTTGAAATGCTATCCACTGCCTTTGTGTTCTCCTTTCTTCAGTTTCGTGTTCTTCCTTTAATGCCTCGTGTCTATTTCGTAATAATGTTGAACCATTTTTTCTTAAATCTAATGCTTTTTGTTGTTGTTTTTCTTCTTTCTCTTTCTTTTTCTAGGTCTCTTGATACTTAGTTTCACTGTTGCTACTACTGGATTATGATCGGTATATTTGTGTACCCCTGGATATATTTTCATCTGTCGGTACACATTTCTCAACCTTCTTTTGAGTGTTATTTTATCTATTTAATTCCTGGTTCTGTCTCCAGGATGGCAGGTGTATATTCTCCGCGGGTAGTGTTTAAACCATATGTTTATGATGAGTTGCCAGTTTTCTGCACTTCATCATTCTATCCATCTTGTGCCCCTGTCATTTCTGTTTCCTAAGCCATACTGTCCAGCAATTTCTTCAAAACTTCCTTCGCCCATGTTTGCATTTAAATCCTCCATTACGAGAATTACCTCCTCTTCTTTGCACTGCAGCTTTGCTTCTGTTGTTTCTCCTTGGAATTTATCTATCCCTTTTTCTGTCCTAGCGTTTGTTGGAGCATATATCTGCATTATGCTGATGTTGAATATTCTTCCTCTCAAGTTAACGAATGTGACTCTATCTGGTATTGCTCAATAGCCCATGATATATCTGGATATGGTCTTTGACACCAATATACCCACTCCCTATTTAGCTGTGCCCCCCCCCCCCCCTTCTGGGTATATTTGCTAATTTCCTTCTGTTTTTACACTTCCTACTGCCGGTCATCTGATTTTTCCTACGTCACTTTCATTTTCTTTCTTTTTCAATGTTTGCTGATTTTCCTGCTTATTAAAGAGTTCTAATGTTCCATGAGACGATGCCTTAGTATTATTCGTACTACTTTTATTATCATTTTGTTGTTGTTGTTGTCGACAGCAGTCGTCTGATAACAGTCAAGTGCCCCCTGCTGAACAGGGCCGTCTTGTTATTATCATTTTTATTATTATTATTGTTATTACCATCATTGTTATTACTGTTATTATCAATATCATGGTAATGATAATAATAGTATGAAAAATAGTATAAAAAACATAATGATAACGATAACAAGATTTAAACAGTGAAAACAATTATAATAGTAATGATAATGATAACAATGGAGATCAAAATAATGATAATGATAAAGATTTTCCTTCGCAGCGTTCTTGCAAGAATTAATTTGCTATTCACTCGTCAACATTATGTAGATATTAGTATTCTGAATCCACTCTTAAATCTTCTTGACACCATTTGCCTTTAAGATACAGACAAAAAAATCATATAAAGTGACTACAAGTTTCATCAGTGACTTCTGATGGTCGAAAATCTTTCAGTCTAGATAACAAAATCGACATTATAACGACGAGGGATTCGTGGTGAGTTTTGCATTATTCGCCGAGAGAGGGAGGTGCAACCTGTGACTTCCTAAATGTGACCCGGTTTTATTAATTTAGAACACATCAAATTACTTTCTAAAAGGAAAAAAAAAGTGATCCCGATTCCTTTAAACGCACTCTATGTGTTTTAGCTGGTTAACAAAATG